ATCAGTCTGTGTATTGCCAACTGTGATACTTGACTTTCAGGTGAACCCACGTTAAACTACTTGCAGGCCAATGTTTTTGTCCTGGAATTTCGATGATATGAATAGCCTCCCACCACTAATGTCCCCATTTAATGACTTTAATGGGTTGAATTTAATGACTTTAATGACTTTAATGAATTGTACCTGACTGGTTCCAGGCAAACATTCAGATTGTTACTAAATGTTTTGTTTTTTCTTTCTTTTTGTTGGTTGATTGCATCTGTTTTTCTCCAGGCCGGGGATATCGAGGCCCAGGATGATCTGGCTCTGGCCTTATCCAGAGGTCTGGAACTGGACACCCAGAGGTCCAGTAGAGACTCTATCCAGTGCTCCAGTGGCTACAGCACACAGACCAACACACCCTGCTGCTCTGAGGATACTATACCGTCACAAGGTAGCACACTCACCAGTTCTCTGCTTCTTTTTAACTTGCTAGCATCATATCATACGTCACGTGGCTGGGTGCATACACTGCTTATTTCTTTGTTTCATTCCAGTATCAGACTACGACTACTTCTCAATGGCTGGAGACCCAGAGTCTGAGCAGCAGCAGTCTGACTTTGATAAGTCCTCCACCATCCCCAGAAACAGTGATATCACTCAGTCCTACAGACGTATGTTCCAGGCCAAACGCCCAGCCTCCACAGCGGGGCTACCCAGCAGTCAGGTACCTTATCCTGGCCCGGGGGCCTACCACACGGGGCCTTATCCCCCCACACCAATCCACACAGGCGCTTATGCATCTACTCCTACTGCACAGTATCCTCCTACGCCTACAGGTAACTGTTTTGGCCACTTTCTTAATGTTGGTGATAAAATATCGTGACCATCAGTTCCCAAAATGCCTCTCTTCGCATTTCTACAGGCCACGGTCCAGTTATTGTGACCCCTGGAGTTGCCACGATCCGCCGCACGCCTTCATCTAAACCTTCTGGACGCCGTTCGGGCTCCGTTACAGGTACAGGCCCCATTCCCATTCGCACTCCTGTCGTTCCTGTAAAGATCCCCACGGTGCCTGATATGCCAGGAGCTGTTAATGGGAACAGAGGCGAGGAGATGGTAGGCAGAGAAGAATCCCCCAGTTCTCTAACATTTACAGGAGAGGAGGATCCCGGCACGCTACCCATGGCGTCCTGGAGCGGTCAGGCCACAACCAACCCTCCCAATCTACCCAACTATGTGAGCCAGCAGCACCTTCAGAGTGAGATGAGACAGGAGGGAGGAGGAGATGATTCAGGAGAGCAAGAAGAAGGAGACATGCTGATGGCCATCCGCAAAGGGGTCAAGCTCAAGAGAACCTTCACCAACGATCGCTCTGCACCACGCATCGCGTGATTCGGCAAAGGTCGCAGGAGACGTGTGACCTCATTTGTAAATTAGGTCAGAAGCTTTAGGAAAAAGGAACGTTGCAGATAAGAAGTGCAATGTGTAAACTTAAAAGGCTTCTTGTAACACATTGCAATATCAGTTGTATCTGCTAGCTTTCGTCACCTGTGAGAACCTCCTACTACAGCCCCCATTTACAATCACTCAAAGAAAAGACAATAGCAGTTGTCTTATTGGGCTTACGTTGCCTCAGAAATGATATAAAGCCAGGTTAATAACTCACTCTGGATCAGGCCATTTGTGCTAATCCTTGTATAAGCTGTAATTCCAGGCCCACAGATGTAAAAGAGCAGCATAAAACAGCATGTTTTTGTTAATAAGTAGCACCACACTGATCACTCATTATTTTCACACAATACTTACGTCTCCTCTGAGTGGGGAAAAAAAGTACTGTATATTATGTGTACACAGACTCGGTGTTTTGGGAGTGCACTGTACTGTTGCGGTGGGATCAGCATTCTTACTGTTGATGACTTGGCAATAACCTCTGCAGGTACGACACGCCCTCGAGAGAGCGATATTAAAGTGCTCTATTACAGTAACGGCTTCAGCGGCTGGCCTTTGATGGCTCCATTTTTGGCAACTCCTGACCTGCATCAGTGCTTATTTGGAGGCACGCCCTGATGGCTGTTCATAGGTGCTGAGCTTCCAGTCACAGTTCAAAGACTTAAATGCAGTATGCATCGATACTCAGAGACACCATGAGCACAGGAAGCTCCTAAAGAAAACCAAACAAAAGCAAAGGAAATGACTGCGTTGCATTCGGAGTCGTAGGAGGCTACAGTGTGACTAAAGTGTCACATGTTTGACGCTGTGACATTAAGAGAGACTAAAGTTGTGTCCTGTTCTTCTTTATAAGGGTTCATATTGACACGGTTTGTAAATAATTTTGCACGTCTGTGTTACCGGGGAGTGTCGGCATCGCTCGTTCAATCGTTCAAAATCAATCAGTTCCACATCTTTTAACAGGGACATAAGGATCATCATACTGCACTGCCTCCAAGTGGATTGGGTTTACTTCTCCTCAGTTTATGACTCATTTAATCTGCAATCTCTACACGTTCATGGGTGGCAGATTAAACCTTGTCAGAGGTTCTCGTGTTAATATACGACCTCTTTCCTTTGTTTGTCATTTATTGACCACAGTTTGAGCTGCTTGCCGTTGATTGCTCACAGCGGCAGCAATAAATCTCAAAGTATGTACTGTCTCTGTTTAAAAAGAGAGAGAGAACTAAACATTTTATTGAACCTGAAGCATTATTTCAGAGTTAAATGATATTTTTGTTAACGCCATGATGTTTCTGTCCTTCAGACTTCAGACCAGGTTTTTACAACTGCCACTTTAAATTAGTTTGTTGTTTTTGGTTGTTTTTACAAAGGTGATTATGTTATCAACAAGGAAATCGCATAAAAAACGATCATATAAGATGAGATACTAGGCCCGTCCTTAGACCAGAGGCTAAACAGGCTAGTTAGTGTCACTCGGTCTGTATTTGATTTGCATTTCAGTTCAAGCACTGTGAGACCATGGCTACTACAGGATGTTTGAAATTGTAAATATTATTTAGTTAGTCCAGGATCTCACACGATTTTAATTTATTTCATTTCTCATTCTTTAAATGTCTTCCTCTTCAACTCGTCTCTATTTTTATACTTACTATAAAATATCAGAGTGGCAGAGCTGTTCCCTCGATCAGTGCCGTCTAAAGTTTTCAGTCAAATGTTCACGACTGTCCCGCTGTCAGTCCCTTATTTCACACATCTGTATATTTTGCATCATGAATTCAGATAAGATGGTTTGAAAGCACAGTTTTGGTTTTTGTAAGAAAAATGCCAAGCAGGTGTGGTTTTGAGTCTCATCAGTATTACGAGCCCAGGTCTCGTGCAGAGCTGCACCCACTTCAGTTCAGTCCAAACGGCGCATTTTCATCTGAGTGGGAACAACAAAACCTTTTCTTTTTTTTGTAAATTATTGTTTAAAGTGATGATTTTTTCCCCCCCTGGAGACTGAACTGAAAGTGGAATGACAACAACCATGCTAAGAGTTTGCTAAACAGATTGCGCCTTGCAAACCTCCGTCCACTCATTTAAAACTTGTATCATTAACCTGTAAGTCCCATATTTAAATTACTAGCATAAATATATATAAATATTATATTTGCCAAATGTCAGTATATCCTATAAGAAGTTTATAGTTTGTGAAAGTTTTAAAGTATAGTTAAGTCTGTTTTCCAGTTTAGTTTTTAGCTGTTTTCCTTCCCCACAGAGAGTTGACCTCTCAGTCTGTCCCTGTAGAGTTCAGGCTTTAATGCATTTTGTTTAAGGAGGTAAAAATGTTGTTATGACAGCTTTAGCAATATAATAAAGAATATTAATTTTGTTTTGGCTTTGTGTCTTCTCGAATATGTAAGCGTGTGTGTGTGGGGGGGGGGGGCATGGCAGTGAGAACCCACGGAGAACATGCAGACTCCACACAGAAAGGCCCTACCCAGAAGGTGGATTCAAAACTTCTTGCTGTGAGGCAACGGTGCTAATCGCAGTGCTGCCCTTATGAACACATACTGATTAAAATTAGGTGGGTGGATCAATCCGAAAATAAATGGCATCGATACCAAAGCAGGTATTACTATCGAATCGATACTAGTGGGTAGGATCAGCACAAGTACGTCCCAGGTGTCCAAAAAGCCCAGTTAAAAAAAAAACCCCAAAAAAAACCATGAAATGTTAAAAGATTTATTTGTTTTGTTCACTAGTTTTTATGGAAAGTAAGTGTTTTACTGATGATGATTTTATAAATCTGCTCTCCCCTATATAAGGTACACTTATAGGCTGAAAGTATTGGTGTCGGCAATACTGACCCTGTATTTACTTGCTGTCGGATCAATACCAACCTTTGCAGGATCACAAAGCACTAATTAAAATGTGCCTAAACACGAGAAGTTATTTCTAATTAATAATATAGAAATGTTATCCCTGATTTTGGCCACCAGGGGCCGCCCTTATCCAAGTTTAAACATCCAAACCTGATTCAAGGCTTCGACTTGGATTTTTTTTTATTACTTCACCCATCCTTCGAGGCCTGGAAATACTTATCAATGAAATAGTTAGTGGACTACTCATTTAAACAGTCAAAAAAAAAAAGGAAGCAAACGAAACAGCATGAGGAACAGACACTACTTTTCCTTGAGGTGCGGGCTTCTTCTAAAACTAATAACTTCCACATGATGTCATGTTTCGTCGTGGTAGTTTTGTCTTATCTGGCTGAATAATTCAAATGCTCCACGTGCATAACAGCAGAGGGAGTGATGGGCGCACACCCAGGAGACAAACACCGACCTTTATCACTATAAACACCACAGATGATGCGCGATATAAATCACAGTAAGAATGTATCCTCGCGAGAATACGCACAACACTGACTTCTGAAAGGTTACCAACATTTTAAAAAAATATTAACAATAATAATAATAATAAAGCAAATAAAGATAATTTATGAGATGATGTGGCATAAAATCATCTCATACCGTCAGTGTAGTCCTGACTGTACGTGCGTGTGGCGGTGCCGTCACAGCTACGCACGGAGGAAAGCGGCGCTGCCATTGGAAAATATTTCCAGGGCTGCTGGCCGCTTAAGTGCCCTCCCATCCGCTTCACACATTATCCTGTCAGCCAGAGGTTACACCGACAGGGCTCCAGGCTCGCAAAAATGCGATTAAGTATAAACACCCAGCTAGTTATAAAGGTTTTGGGCTTCGCAAAATCTCACCGGATTTAAAGGAGGAACGCGTATGAGCCGGAGCGACCTCACTGTTTTCAAGGTTTCCTGTGGAGGTTGTTGGACGGGACAGCGGAGCATCGACTGAGGTGAGTCCGAGAAGTCAAGTTGGAAAACTGGCAAATCTGTTTTTTCACCTTTGGGTTTCCAAGAAAATGCGCTCAATCCGCTCCAATCAATATTTTTTCGTCGACATGGTCAGTGTGGTGATCATTGCCAGGCCGGTTCTTGCTCCTGTTAAGTAAGCCTGGCTGTCTGTGGAGGGTACAGGATGTTATCGTGCGATGGCTGTTGACGCGATTGTTCCACACTGGAGATAAATAATTATATAAATCTTTACGCCATGTGGTTTTAGGTGAGTGCGCGTTTAAAGTGGTGATAACCAGGCCTGGTGTCGCCTGCTCTGCTCCATCAGGTTTCCGGCTCTTCGCTCTACTTCCCCATCTCAGAGATGCTGCCCTGCTTGCGGAGAGTCCTGCGGCCTGCCTTCTCTCTCAGAGCCGGGACTGGTCTGACCGGAGCCGCGCTCAAAACCCACCAAACGCCCGCTCTAGCATCCCCGGTGCAGCTCGCCTCGGAGACCCCGCTCTCCGTGGTGGTGCAGCGGTGTCACCTGGGCACACACCCCCTGAAGGAGCCGATGGAGCCCCTCAACTCACCCCGAGGAGCCAAGGAGTTTATTTATAGCCTTCATCCGTCTGAACGCACCTGTCTGCTCAGAGAGCTGCACAGGTTCGAGTCCATAGCTATTGCTCAAGGTATGTGATTCATTACATGTGCTTTTATATATGTGTCCAGTGTGACACCCGCCCACCCCCTAAGCTGTGCTTTAGCATGAGTCTTTATGTGAAACAGTTCATGCTAGTCATATTTAACAGATAATTTTTTTCTTTTTTAAAAGTCCTTCTTTCTTTTGAAGTTTTGCTTGATATCAGTTGTTTTTGGTCGTAATGATCAAAGGAGGTGTGCCTTGGTTGCATCTATTATTCATCGCTGTGTCCCTGGATACAGTGTGTGATGACAAGGGTTACCTCTGGGGTTACAAATATTCAGGCTTCAGCTTTATTACCATTGACATCTGGCTTAAAGGATGAAGTCACCTGTAGAGTTAGGAGTGTGCTGTTCTTAAAGCAGTACTCCCATTTTAACGCTTCTGAGGCATGGTGGCGGATTGGCAGCTTCTAATAAATCCTTCATAACTTCCTTACGAAGAGCTGTTAATCTCGAGGAAATGGCCTGACTCTTCCCTGACCTCTGATCTCTAAATTCCCACTTTAGCTTTTCCTTTATAAAGGTGAAAATGCCAAACTCTTGACCCCCCCCCAAAAAAGAAGCTCTCTCCCAAAAAAGAACCTTGTTGCCATTGAGACTTTTTCCTGATTGATTATCTTTCTTATGTGATAATGGTAGTGATCTCTTCCAGGATCCAGAGAATATAAAAACAGTCTCAGTCAGATGCAGCAGTTTTCATCAGTCTCCAGATCTCGAACTAATCAAATAGCCATAGCAGAGTGTGCATCGGTCTGCACTACCACTATCAAAATACAGCAGTAGGTGTATCTTTTAGACCAGAGGTTTGGCATTTGGGCCACAACAATACGCCAGAGCCACTTCAGTGTTCCTTGACTTTGTTTTTCCAACACTTTAAGAAAACACAATGCATTTTTACAGGCACCCCCCCATTTCATTTGTCTGCAGTCTCTATGGTCCACGATTAGTAGTTAGGCCACAATGTGTTTGAGTCACACAACTGTTACACGTGTCTTCTCAGTTCAAAGACACGTAAGTTTGTTGTACTGGAAGGTCCAAAGCGCTTTTGAGTGTGAATATGAGTGTGAGTGACTTTCCTCTTGGGTCCTCTGGTGGACTGGTGATTTGTCTTCTCTCATGGGTGAGACGGCGCTTCTGCCAAAAAAAAGTGTTAGAGGAAAAAAGTGGCTTGATATGTTCAGCCAAGCAAAGAGGACTGAGTCGGAGAACATGTTTTTTTTTCTCAGGCTTATACAGTGAGGTCAACAATTTGTTGGACAAAGACACATATTTGTAGTTTTTGTGAATTTGAAGTCAAACAATAGAAATTAAACTGCAGACTATTAGCTTTAATTTAAGGGGTTTAACAGTAATTTTGCATCAACTTTTTATAAACTGTCGCCTATTTTTAGAGGGTCAAAAGTAATTGGACAACTGAATAACAAGTGGTTTCACAGCCAGGTCAGGCTGTGAAAGAATGAATGCATTAATAATGGATAATATAATGGATTGCATTTATATAGCACTTTTCTAGGCACCCAAAGCACTTCACAATTCCACTATTCATTCACTCACTGGTGAAGGCAAGCTACAGTTGTAGCCACAGCTGCCCTGGGGCAGACTGACAGAAGCGAGGCTGCCATATCGTGCCATCGGCCCCTCTGGCCAACACCAGTTGGCTGTAGGTGAAGTGTCTTGCCCAAGGACACAACGACCGAGACTGTCCGAGCCGGGGCTCGAACTGATTACAAGACGAACTGCCAACTCTTGAGCCACGATCGCCCCACTGAGCCAATAACTAGCTTAGCAATACTAAAATGCCTGAAAGACTACAGAAGACAACTAAAGTGCATGATCACAGAATTATTTCCATGGTAAATGAAAACAACGGCATCTAACCATGTCAAGAATACTCTCAAAGAGTTAGGTTTATCTTGTCAAGGTTTACAAGGAAGTGAGTCTTTCATCAATGTGAGTACAGAGGCGAACAAAGTGCAAACCACTGGTTACACTCAAGAAAAAGAAGACCAGACTAGACTTTGTCAAAAAATATCTAAACAAGCCTGCACAGTTCTGAAAAATGTCTTTGGATCATCTGTCAAACCTTGTGGAAGCAGTCGTATGACATGGGCATATTGCTTACAGTGTAACCAGGTCAGTAGTTTTTATTTTTGATTTCACTTTTAGTAGGAGCAGCAGGATAAACTGTGACGTGTACAGGGCTGTAGTCTCTGCTCAGATTCATCCAAATGCTGTGAAACCGATCAGACTGCATTTCACATTATAAATGGGTAATGAGCCAGGGCATACTGTAAAAGCAACCATTGAGTTTGTCATGGCAATGAAATGAGGTATTCTTCAGTGGCTAAGTCAGTCACCTGATCTCAATCCAACAGAGGATGCTTTCTAGTTACTGAAGATCTAAGCTTTATGCAGAAAGACCCACAAACAAGCAGCAAATGAAGCTGGGTGCAGTAAAGGCGTGCCAGAGCATCTCAAGGAAGGAAACGACATTTAGTGATGTCCACGGGTTCTAGACTTAAGGCGCTATTGACTGCAAGGTTTTTTTCTTCCAAGTATTAGCAGCAGTCTTTATATTTAAAATTATGTTAGTTTCATTATACTGTGAAAATGAGGGACTCTGTATAAAAATAGCTGTAATTTCTAAAGATTTCCTGCAACATTTTTGCAGAAACTCTCTCTCAACATGTCTCCCCATGTTAGAAGGTTAGCATGGCTGTTTTTTAGTCCATTGTACTCCAGAAGTGTAGCGCTGAGGCATGACTTGGGTTTCGTGAAACGTAGCAATGACATTATAAGTTTATATGAGAAGGAGGCGGTGTGCTGATGATCTGCAACGAGTGGAGACAGAAAGAAATGGGTCGATCAATACAGGAGAAGAGAGGTTGGGAATGAGGAAAAACATGAGCGATGGTGATGAGGTTTTACAGTATACGAAGCTCTCTGGGAGCACCCTGCTGTCACCCATCATATTCCTCTCGGGAATAAAGTGCAGAGTCAGTTCTTAAAATAAATATTCTTTGTTTTATTTAATAGCTTCGTGTTTTAATCTTTGCCAGTTACAATTATAGTGTCACAAAACTACAGCTAGATATCGGAAACTCTGTTGAGGCTCCTTGCTTGTTGTCTCTGTTATTAATATCGGTTTTAAAAATCAGAAATGCTGCACTAGGCTCAGGACTGTGGAAGAAAGTATGTGCCATGTACGTATTTTCAGGGAAGCTACGTTTACTCTCCTGGCTGGTGATGAAGAAATGATTTCCATGATGATGCACAAACTGCGGGAAGCTCCAGAGTTGTTTAACCTTTAGAGAAAAAGTCAGAATAAACCAAGAATGTGTGCTAGTGTCACATCTGTACCACATCTTCTCGCTCTGGCATCTTCGGAGGAGCAAATAACCAGCCGTTGGACTGTTGTTGTCTTTTTAAAAGAGGAAATAAAAGAAAAAATAAATCATTACAAAAAATATGCTGTAAATATACATAAAAATTCAAAGAGGGAGAATGTTGCAGAGATAGATATTACTGTTTTCCAAAAGTACATTATTATCTATACGCCTGCAGATGAAGAAAATCACCTATTTCAACACTCATCAAATCTTAAAGGTAATACCGATTCATGTTTCTCTTGAATGATTATGATACTTGCAGATTATCTTCAGCTTTCATTTAAATGGCACATATCCTAGAATTCCAAATCATCTCAAAATAAACTAGAATGAGGTGAGAAGACACAGAAGCCAGTGTTTGTGGGGCCTGCCTGACTGGAGCCTGCTGACATCCTCACCTTCGCTCTATAAAAACCCTGAGGGATTCTCTTACATACTGTGGATGCAGGCTGCAGTCTAGCTGAATCTGTAATTGCTTGGACTGGTCGACGGTCTCCCTGACTGCTTTGCTGGCAGGTAGGTTGAGTTTTTTGACAGGCTTATGAGCATCCATCATTATGCCACTTCCAGTCTGTGGGACATTTGACGCCAAACCCTTATTTTCCATTTTCCTGATACTCACATACGGCCTGGTTGACTGGTAAGGGTGCTGGGTGTCTGCCTGTGATTCGCACTTGCTGACTTATCTTAGGACCGGCCAGTCCTCTGGGTTAATGGAGTGTGCTGCGGTAGATTCATGGTGGTTGCGGCCATATCGACTGGATGCGTTTTCCGCTGAGATGGATCGTTATATTAAATTCAGTTTATATTTTATATTTGAAAATGCTTGCCTCAAGAACAACAAATTCATACTGCATGCACAGTTTGCTTACATATTGAGGCTTGAAAGCAAGAAATGTCATCCCAAGCTTTATATCAGTGGTATTTATCAACACTTAGGTCAAAACCACTACACAGATGCTCTAATGTCCTATAGACAATAAAGCTGTAAAATTTCTCCTCATCTCAGTTTTAAACAGATTGTATTAAAAAGATGAGATAAGGATGCTGTTTAGGATGCTTTAAGCCTTCCGGCCATTATCATTAGGGTAAAGCTGGGTAGCTGCTAACCAACCCAGCTAGCTTGAGTAGATACTTTTTGGCCACTTCCTTATTTTCTCCAGTGGATCTGCATGTTTGATTTGGCACTTTCCTTCTTGAATGACAGTAAAAGTTATCAAAAAAAATATGTCAAATCTTTCAGTTTTGTTTTTATGAAACAGAGCAAGAAGTCTTTTTCTTTTTTTTTCCTTCAGGTTTTTGCTAAAGCATTTTGCTAAAACAGCTAGAGCCCAAACCAGTGAGGAGCGACTGTATGCCCGCTGAATCCCAGCACTGTTTTGTTGCTGTAATGTACCATTACACAGCGTCTCTCTGTGGTACTGTAAGTGTTTACATTCTCTTCTGTTTTGTTCTGTGAAAATCTTCCATTTTTGCTACTGTAACTATGGTTTTTGTAAGTTTTTTCCTCTCATGTTACGTGTAAATGTAAGTGCTCTGCTGCATTGCAAAGTAGATTGAATGAGTCTTCACATTTGTATACAAAGGGAGATACAATG